GGGGGTTCTCACAGCTAAGGAACACATGACAAAGCCAATTCCAATCCCATGCCAGTTCACATAAAGCCTAGAATGCACAACAAATACGATGAAATTCAAAAACATGCTCAATGTATTTACAACAGTGGAAAATATCACACAAAGCATAATTTCCAAATGCTCTGTGTCTCCAGCCAGGCTACAAACAATAATGAGACTTATTAGTAAAATAAATCTAATTTTGGTCCTTAAAATGTTTTTGGTAGCGATCCCTCTCCCAAAGGGAGGCTCTTTGTTAAACCCTAATCTTGCCTCCCCACCCAAACAGAAACTGGGCCGATGGTCTTTGGGTTTCTGTGTTCAGCACAATATATGAAGAATACCCAGCTGCAAGCTATGCAAATGATAGCAATGTAAAAAACTACAGCAATTCAACCCTGGGTTGCAGGCAAGAGTATACAGTTGTTTTGGTCTTTACCATCATTTCAGTTAGAGGTGGGAATCACCATACATCCCACGATACGATATTATTGCAATTTTTAAAAAAAATACTTTGCGATATTCAGATTCTGTACATAAAGGTAAACTTTATCAATATTCATTTTATCTAATATCAAAGTCTCACACTCAGTCTCTCATTTCAGTCAGTTTTATTGTTGACAAACTGAACGGTTTGTATTACAGTCTAGTCCAACTTAACTGAATGCAACCATCTGGTACAATTATAGCTATTCTGAACTATGCAATTTATGAAAACTATGCAGCCCATTCAGCAACTGAAGAATTTGAAAGTAAATTAAAACAAAATATAATTTTACATTAAATAAAAAAGTTTAAAACTTAAAATAAAACATGTTTATTGCTGCCAAAAAAAAGTTAAACACATTTGGACAGTGAAGGATTCTTGCTCAGAAAAAGGACATGCTCTGAAGTCAGAGTTCCAGTCCACAAAAACTTTTTTGTAACAAAATATCGATTTCTGCTGTCCCTGTACCGATGCATTATTAGCAAACAAAATATCACGATACTACACAGTATCGATTTTTTCCGCCACCCCTAATTTCAGTGATATATCATTGCAGGAGCTCAGATTCAGAGCTGCAACAATTTGAAAAGATGAGAGTATCCAGTTAAAATTAAATACATAAATAAAATAGCAAATCCAGCAAGCGTTGCTTGTCAGTATAAATTGTGATAAAACTGTTGTAACAACAGTTGGTGTGCAGCACAACCAATGCAGTGTCCATAATCCAGGTATAAGTGTGTGCCATTTCTTTTTGAAGACTGTAATTGGGTGGCTAAAAGTGTCGGCATGCATTTCAGCCACTTGTACGCTCAATTTGATTTTTACTGTCACCCCACTCAGTATCCAGCCAGAGGCAAGGGTCGGAGTTGAGAATGTTCCTGGTAACTAATTTACTAGTCATATAAATGACAGAAACAAGGGACAGATGTCTAAGTGAGCTGCAACCACAATGGTGTCGTAAATAAAATAATACGTTTAACCAACTAGTATTTTGGACACCAACTAGCAACAGCAGCAATGTTTAAATGTCACACTGACCATTAACAAAACATAAGTCCTATTTTATCCATTTATGGAAAATAACAGGCACTTGAGGCAGGGATAGCTCAGTAGGTAGAGTGGTGGCCCCATGATCGGAAGGTCGGGGGTTCGAATCCACTGAACGGCTACCCTGAGGTACCGTCCCTACACACTGCTCCCCAAAATAAATAGGAAAAGCTAGTTTACTTACTTTAAATAAAGATTTCTAAATCCACATTAGCTTATAGTGTTCATTAGTCAATTTATATTTTGTTCAAAATAAAAACAAACCTCTGGTTAATAGGAGCAGAGAATATACCATTTTCTTTCACATTTTAACTATGCACACAGGTGGTTTGATGAAGGCCTTTTACATTCATAAGGACAAATTCTTACTGAATGTAAGAACTTGAGCAACATGCTTTAGTGGCTCCACTCAATCAGTTATGTTACACTAAAATATTTTAAAAACTGCCTGTATCTGGGGTGAATACTATGAAGCAAGTTCAACGTAGTCAGGATTTCTCTGTTATTTGGTTCAACAACAGCCAAAACCCAGGTCAGAGATAACAGGTATCCCACTGGTGGCTATCAGATTTGTATGTCAACACAGGCTTTCCAGGCTCTGTGCACTTGTGGTGGACGCTCATTTCACTCTTATTCTGCACAAAACTCAGAGGAACATACAATAGAGAGCTATAAACAATGTAAAGCATATAAGCATGTAAATGCCATAATGGTGCTGCAAAAAAAAAAAAAAAAAAAAAAGCAACAGCAACCACAACACCAGATAATCTTAAAATTTGTGAACTGGTAAAGTTAAATATTTATCTCCAGAAAAGTAAAACAGATTTGGTGGAACATTAGGATTAAAAAAAAAAAAAAAAAAATCATATTTACATGTTTTCTGCTTCACTGGGTCAATACATGCAAATTCCCGTGACAATGCAAAGTAGACTGCACTGCTTCGTCTATCATCAGGTGGCATTACTAAGGAAGAGCTCAACTGAGTGCATTTATTACCAATAATGTCTGCTGAAGGAAAGCATTTAGAAAATGTCTTCTGGAAAATATCATCACAAACATCTCACAGCAGGAGCTGTCATTAAAAGGTTAATTTTGTCATCCAGCAGCCCCAAAACCACAATACTTATAATGCGGTAAGAAACAGCAGTAATAGCAGCAATTTAAGCCATTTCTAATGTTTAAAATTTAATGGTTTTGTTTTGTTTGTTTTTTTTACTTCTTAAGTCTTGTCTCCCTTTATACCCAATTAAACAAAAATTCAAGCAAATAGATTAACATTAGATATTGAACAAAAATATGCAGCCAAAGTACACTTCTGTTAGGAGGTAAAAGGAAAGATGGTGGATAGAAAAAAAGAAGCATTAAAAAAAAAAATCCAGGTCCAGTTATTCATAATGGATATAAACAAGTAATAAAAAGCATTACTACAGTGGGACAGAGTTCCCGTGTGTAATATTGTTTCTTTCCACGAGCATCAGTTGTTTAAAAGGACACTAGGAGCTGCTACTGCCTATATCTATATATCATATCTATATCTATCTATATATTTATTTATATTCTATATATATCTAATATATCTATATATCTATTATCTATATATATCTTATATCTAATATCTTCTATATCTTATCTATTATCTATATATATTATATTTTTTTTTTTTGAACTTCTTCATTATGGAGAAATTTGCAACGTCAAGTACCAGGGAGGCTAGCATCCTAATATTTTTATGAAACCTATTTTATTAAATGTCATGGCAGCAAACACTTTGTTTTTAAGATTTAAATCCAGTTATAGGAAATAAATCGCTGCAGAAACGCGTAATTATTCTAGGTTGCAAACCGAGCACCAGCATTTGCACCAAAAAAAGCATGCAAAGATTATTCAGATTTTTGCAGAGTTTAACATTACTTAGATCTCCTTTAACGCATCAATTTTTAATGTAGCTCACACAAGAATAAGACTATAGAGCCTTAATTGAGAGCAGGGTGACTGCATGCTGCTTGCATCTTACCGGCTGATCCACAAGTCTGTATCTGGAGCACCCTGCTGGCTGGACCACGGCGCTGAATGAGGGAAGGAGGACAGTCCGGGGAAAACCGGTGACTTCAGGTCCACAATCTGGAATAGATGAACCGATGACCGAGTGGGTCAGACTGATGGAAATAATCGTTTCCAGCCACTCGCCAGACTCTGTTAGCATTCGTCAACCCCTCAGCTAGCTAACTAGTGATCCTGCTCTAATCGTTAAAAACAACAACATTGTCTCGCTGTTTTACTCGCATTTTAACATATACATAGTTAAATTAATTTTTAAATTACGATAGTTTTAATTATTAAAAAACACTACTTAAAGTAGGTTAAGGTGATGCTAAATGAGGTCCCCTGGTTGTCTAGCCAACAACTAGCAATGCTAAAGCTTAGCTCGGACCGTTAGCTCGGCAGCTAGCTCGTTAGGCGACACAGTCCTGCTGAGAACGGCTTTTGTTTTTGTTTTTACCTCGTAGCATGCGACGTCTGGGTGCGAAAAAACAGACTCAGAACCAAGGAAGTAAAAATGTGAACACATGAAGGTGGCTGTGCACCGCGAGAACGGGGTCCCTAAAGCCTGTCAGCGGGGCCTTTTTCTTCATCCAGGGAAAAGCGGAGTGAGAGGCCTGGCTCTCCATCGGCCCGGGAGGGCTGCTTTTCTCTCGCTAACAAAAACTGTTTCCGCTGGCCTGCCCCGATAAGTCCATTGTCTGTGTGACAGTAGAGTCATGCAGCTGGAGTGGCTCACTGCTCCTCTTCCCTCACACGGAGCCTTTGTTTTGTTCCCGTCGTGTTATTCCCTCTTTTCTCCCCGGCTGGTTGCTCTCCGCCCCGTGTCAGCTTTAGGTGTCCCCCCCTCTGTAGACGACAGCTCCTCGGATGCTCCTGGCCTTAAAATGGTTGTTTCCTGTCTGCATAATGGTTCCGGGTAGAGCCAGGCGCAGGTTTTAGTCTGTCCGGCTGCGACCACATCCAGCACACCACCGCCACCACGCTCACATCCACCTCTTGCCCAAAATCCGTATCCTATCCAGCATGATGCTCAAGAATAAATAAAGCGCGCGCGTGTGTATGTGAGCGCGAGAGCGTTCATGTACGTGCGCGTGCATGCATACGCTTTACACTCCATTAAAAAAACTGCCTTCAAACACCGTAAGCCATCAAGTCCCTTGCGTGTCACTGTGTGTGTGAATGTGTGTGTTTTCACACCAAGTGTGTGAAATGTTAATTAGTCAATTAAAGATATCATTAGGGTGCATGCTGCATAACATTACAACGTGTGTGTTTGTGCGCGCGTCATGGAAGTGCTGCTGTGTGCCTGGTGCCTCATTTGCATTCAATTAAAGTTATTATTATAGTGTATTATTCTTGCCTATTGCCTATGTGGGTGTGTTTGACTGTGTGTTTACTCTGCTGCGCTGCTCGTGTTGTGGGCACATGGATTTGTTTGCACACTCACATTGTGGGCAAGGGTGTAGGTTTGATTTAGAAAGCAGCTGAAGGAAGTCAAACGCTACTCGCCTTAAATATTCAGAAAACTTTCCTGAGGTTTCTTGCGAATCTGCATCTGTAAAAGGGGCGTGATTATCAACATTTTGTTTTTGTCACCTGGTTGCTATTGTATTTGTTTGTTTATGGTGAAGCCATGTTGTAAAAGTGTTTTTGGCATGAAAAAAAGAAGGTGTAGCAAGTTAAAGCTTCAGCTTACATCTTTTCAGTCAGTAGGGGAGACCGGGGATAGTTGTAACATTTTTGACATTTCTGTCTGTAAATTGAAGCTCTTTTAAGGTAGTGGATTCAAAATGTAATGCAAAGTATTTACATGTCTCTGCTATTAAATAGTGCAGCTATTTTCTCTGCAGCACAATTACCCATTGCATGGTATGGCCTCAAACACAAAGAGTGAAATGTTACAATTAACCCCATAGTCTGGGTTAGTTGTAACATATCCTGGGGTGAAATGTAACACAATGAAATAAGGGTACTGACAAAATATTAACATGTAATCTTTGTTTATTCAACACATGAATGCACTTACAGCCATTTATGTAGCTCTGTGTGTGTGTGACAGAATGCAGAAATCTAGCTTTTGAACATATTCCAACCCCCCAAAAAAGACAAGTTATGGAATTTTCTGCAACTGAATATTTCATTAATTTTGGTTGGTCTTCCTTGAGTTTGGCCTCATTGGCTCAGTGGGCATTATAACCTACAACTCTTGCACCAATTTTGAACATAACAATGAAGCTGAAAAAATGTAGTTGTTCACCAGCATCGCAATTCCATTACTTTTTATCATGGCTTACCTTGGTGTGGTTTGCAAAGTGCTTCAGAAAGATGAGGAAATCTGTTTCTTGCACCCATCCTGATTTATTTCCACTACCAGTACTTCCTACTGGTCCATCTCTGACACAGTGGTCTGCATAATGTATGTGTGGGAACACGAACAGTGGAGGAATTGTGTTGCCAATGGCATTAACCGCATATACAAATGCGACCAGTGAACCTCTCTCTGCTGATGTCGTTGCCCCAACTTGTTTAATATAAGTTAAAGTAATAGTGTGGTAAGTTGTAACATCTGCATTATTGTTACAACTGACCCAGACTCCTATAGCCATGAACTAGCTAACATTACTGCCAGCGGCTAAAACATTAGCACTAAAGACCTACACAGAATATATCCCCATAGACATACAAATAACATAATTTAAGTTTGATGAGTTTAACTGCAAAGCAGATAATGCTATTAGAAATTGAAATAAAGTAGAAAAACTTACTTTTTGGCATACAAATTACTTTTTTTGGTGTTAAATTGCCTGTGTTTGACAAAATGTGCTGATTTTTCACATGTGATAGCAGAACTGAATTGGGCATGCACAGGAAGAGTCACATCATTTGAAACTTAGCCCTGATTGGAGAAATTGGAAGTGTTACAACTGACCCACGTTACAACTATCCCCGGTCTCCCCTAATCCGTCCCCCCGTTTAATTCAGTTCTTGGTGTGTGATTACAACAGGAATCGGCTCTGAGACACTTTTTTTTGGACTGGTGATGGACAGGTCTGGTCAGATGAGGTCAGACAGCAGTCTTCATGGACTATGATGTTCACAGATTATGATCACAACCAATTTACACAATGTGGCAACACTGTAAAGAAGAATGGGCCAATATTCCTCCAAAACGATGTGACAGACTCATAAATCCAAGCAAAAAAAATTATTGCTGCTGAAGGTGGTTCTACAAGCTCTTGAATTGTGGGGTGAGCATAGTTTTTCACACGGCTGCAGAGAGTCCTGTGAAAACGTTCTAACTCACATGACTATATTTATGAAGTTCATTTTTATATTTTAGTCTGTTTCCAGATTAATTCCTTATTTATAAATAAAGTCATTATTGCATACTTGTAATATTCATATTAATACTTAAAGAAATGCTTTATTACCCTTTCTGTGACCCTTGTGGTCCTCTACAGAAAGGATCTCTAAACGCCAGTCACTATTGAATAGATTCATAAGTCAGCAGTTTTATGTGGTAGTGCCCATTTACACCATATTTTTCATCACTTTTGCACAATAGGAAGGGGTTAATGCTTTGTCCAACTATATAAATGCATATACTGTTACTCATGGGTCAGTCATTTCAAACTTAGACTGTGCATCCAAACTTTGTTTAAATTCTGTCAGTGTAAACACTGCATACATGTTTAAAAGTGCAGTACATAGTGGCCTCTAGATGCACGGTTGGAAACCACAGTCAAATAAATACCCATCATAAAATCTCCCTTTGCATGTGAATAGGAGAACCAGTGTTAGTGGGTGAAACTGCTGAAGGCAGTCCATAGATTCAGTGTTTGCTTTACTTTAGACACAAAGGACACTGTATGGAAAAGGTTTTGTAAGTGTGCTGGTATATCATCGTTCATTGTAACTTTATTAAAACTTAATAAAATAAACACATAATTGTGAATATTTTACTTGTAGAGCCTCTTGAATTCTACGCAGTAGACCTTTAATGAAGACGGGATGAGATCATTTAAGGTTTTAATATTCCATATAAAAGAGAAAATGTACTGTGTCCAAACTATTATATAGAACTTGTTTGGCTCTTTTTTTTTTCTTAATTTCACACTGTGAGTTATATTCAGAATGTTAAAATGTGGCTTTAATAGAGAGCCCCTCAATGTAGGTTGAAAGAAGACATGCCATAGAAACAAGGGTGTAGGTTTGATTTAGGTAGAAGAGAAGATATGCAATAGCTTGTGTCAGCTATATATCAGTTATAGATGGCCCTTGAAAAATGTAACCAAAATGTACTTTCTGAAGTTTTCCTTAACAATTTAAATGTATGTAGATAGTTGATGTAAAGTCGATCTGTAACTTTTAGCAGAGTTCAAATGCATTTTTGTGGAGTTTTTTTCTTAACCCTGAACATCTCATGTCGATGTCTCCATACTTAGGAATTTATGAAGGGTCAATAATTCTGGAAAAAAAGGGGAAATTTTCATTCCAACTTCATTTATTCAGAGGGCCTGTGACTCTGGGAGAAAAACAGGGGAAAAAATGAAATCTACTAAAAAATAAAAAATAAAAAAAATTGTAAAAAGCAGAGGGAGTCAGGATCAACATTAAATATATTAATAAAAAGTTCTAAACATAAAAATGTGACCTAAATATTAAAAAAGTAATATTTAATCACACCACACAGAAAAACAAAGTTTAGTGGTATTTAATTTTATTGTTATTATCAATTAAACAGTATGATTTCTACAAACGCAAGAATTGATCACCAATAACAAAAGGGTTGCACATCTGTGAGACCTTTGTCTGGATATTCTTGGAAATAGACATGTAAGGGGATGTAATAAATAAATGTATTATACAATTTGAGGTATGCAGAGTAGCTTCGAGAATACAAATATGCCCAAGCCTGCCAACACCCCCCCAGTGGTTAAAACGCGCACACACACACACACACACACACACACACACACACACACACACACACACACACACACACACACACACACACAGTTTGATCAGAGGACCAATTAACTGAACATGGATTATAACATCTGCATCAGACTTTTGAAGGTATGAGGAAAAATGAGTGAGACATTAAAAATATAACTGAATTCCCACGTCATTTACATCCACCCTCCCTTCTTATTTTTATGCCTCGTGCTCTTTTAAGGTTCTAAAATCAGCCAAACCAGGTCACTTTACATTCTGCTCCACATCGGCAACAACTGCTCTCCACAGAAAAACAACCTTTAAATGCAATTAACGTTCTCCTCTTTCGGCCGTATTGCAACCTAAAAAAAGCTGCTTTTTATACCTTCTGTGCCTTTAAAATTTCCTCAGATGAAAACATTTCTTTTAAAAGACAAACAGCTTTTGTGGACATATATTAAAGGTACTTTTTGTAATTACCCTTGGGAGAATTTGATTGAGGTTTTCAGTCAGGTCAGATACTGAAAATGTTCATCTAGTGGGCGACGTCACGGTGGTTACGTCTGATAATTTTGGACCTATTTGTTGATCAAGACAAGGCAGTCGAACTGTTGGTTGGTCATAAATAAAAATGTGCTGTTTTTGACTTACCAGGTTAAATAAAGGTAAGACTATTTGCACCCCATTCCAGCTTCACTTGATGCACCCAAACAGTGCATGTTTTATATATAAAGTCACAGTGGTTGTTTCTTCACATTTCTTTTTCATAGTTTTGTTTATTATGGAACATTTTAAAGAATTTTTAAACATCAAAGTTTACAAAAAGTACCTTTAAACTCAAATTTCAGTGACACAAACTTAAACATCCATAAATTAAAGCACTCAGCTTCTATTAAAACACCAAAACCTGACACAATATAAGCCTTCAGTAAGTTACATTATCAAATGTCTGAAAAGTCCTCACTTTGATGAACATAGCTCGACAAGAAAAGCTAACTGAATGATGTCCCTTTAAAAAAATGAATTTTTAAAGGAACGACAGGCTTTGAAAATGTCATTACAGCTTGATATGAACACGCAGTGACTCGAGTGCTGAAGACGTACTCCGAGTTTGGTCCAAACAAAAAGAAGAAAAATAAATAATAATGAGGTTCAGCATTCCTAAGAAGAATAAGAAGACACAGAAAGTTACACGCACGGGCACACAAACTAAAACAGACGCATGTACATGTACGCACATACACGCCGTGACATCATAAGTCAGCACT